CCCCCCCCCCAATCCCAGTGGCACCAGTAATGCTGAGCAGTCAGTGCCACGGCCTTCGCACAGCATCACTCCCTGTGCTGGCAGTCCTGGTGCTGCAGAGCTGCATCATTGTCCCTTCCCCCCCCTGCATAGTCCTGGCACAGTGGCTAGAATTGCTCTGAAGCCAGCAAGAAAATCAGGAGCAGGAAAAACAGCCCCAAGGCCAAAGTGGGGCCAAGCGAGGAGTCAGCATGCCCAGGCGGGCTAGCCTGGTGATAGAGGGGCTGAGCAGGGCAAGAATTTGCTCTTGTCCCCAGGGGCCTCCACGGCTGCTGCAGATGAGATGAAAACCCCAGGGATGCTGCCTGGGCAGGAGCTGGCACATTTACACTAACCACAGCAGGATTCACACTCGAGAGGTGGTGTGGCTGCTGGGGGACCATCCCCTGACTGTGGCTTGTGGGCAAGGGCAGGATGTGATGGATCAGGACCCAGAGGCCAGGGTCCTGCCAGTTGTGAGTCACTCCTCCCCTCCCCTCGCCACTTCTGTTGCCACAGGATGGAGCCACGTGAGGTCCCATGGCCAGCCCCGGGGAGAGCATGAGCACGAGAGGGATGCTGCTGGAGGGAGTGGGATGATGAGGAGCTGCTTTCACAGCCGTTAACCGCACTCGTCCCTTGACCTTCTGCTCCTTCCCCAGGGCACAAAGAGCACAGGCATAGCAGTAGCAGTGGGGTGGGAGGGTGGGGAAAAGCTGGGCTTGTGTTTTGATGCCTGCCTCAGGGCAGGGCCGCTGGTGCTGGGAGCAGCCCTGGGGAACTCACCTCCTTCACCAAAGCACACATGTCTCAGCAGTCCCAGCTTTAACTGGCAAAGCCTTGGGGGTGACAGAGGGACAGGCAGAAGCCTGCACGGCTGACACCAGGGGAGGCAGTGGGACACTGGATGGGGTGGGAAGCAAGGGTTACAACTGGCTGTCTCTCCCACTGAGGACCCGTGGGACAGCGTGGCAGTGGGCACATTCATCTGAGCTGTCTGGGCTGCTCCCCCCTCACGGAGGGGCCAGGGCCTCCCTCGTGCCCCTGAAAGCATGGCCTCTCAGAGAGACCTTCTCCCCACACCACTGCACCCCCCTCTTCCCCATAATGGGCCGGAAGAGGCAGGTGGAGATAGGGGGTGCTGAGCTGGTCCAGGCAGTGGAATGGACCAGCAGAGCCTCCCACTACAGCCCATAAAATGGGGTCTCCCCCTCACATCAGTCCTGTTGTCCCCCCCACCCTGTCAGCGAGGTGGCCTCCACTAGTGCTTGGAAGGCTCCTTCCTGCCCCACCAGCATGTCCTCCACTCTCGGCATGGCTGGTCCTCACTCCAGTGGTGGGGATGCTCACTGGTAGCGGGCCTGGCTCTCCATCACCGGGCCACTCCTATACTCGCCCTCCACTGTCTCCAGCTCTGTCTCAAAGCTCTGCAGCCCACCGTCCTCCCCATCTTCCGCTGCCTCCAGGTGGTTCCCCATGGTGCCATAGGACTGGTGTGCCGGGGAGGCCGCTGGTGTCAGGCTCAACTCAGGCTCCTGCAGGACAGTGGCCACAAAAAGCTGCCCCGGGGGGCAGTGGAGTGTCAGGGCCCAGGGGATCCAGGGGAGGTGGCTGCAGCAGGGCTGGGGAGGGGTACTCACGTTGGAGTTGGGGGTGGAGGAAACGCTGCTCCGCTCCACATCATTGAAGGCGCCCTCAGACTGGTCAGACATCTGGACAGAGGGAAGCCAGAAGGAAACAATGGTTTGGGGGGGGTCACCAGCCGAAGACAGTGGGAGCAGCCAGGCACTGCCTCAGACTCCCCACGGCAAATGCAATGCAAAGAGGTGAGGAGGGGATGCAGCAGGGCAACAAGACAGGTGGCTGTCTGCACTCACTTGGTAGCTGGAGGGTTTCCGTGGCTGCAGCTTCTTCAGGCAGAGGCCAAAGAAGGAGAAGATAATGCAGGAGAGGAGGACCACAAAGGTGAAGAGGGTGACTGGGCGGGTGGGACCTAGAGCACAGAGACACTGGGGCAGCACATGAGACTCCAAGGACCTGCTGCATACGCAGCTGAGCCCCAGGCTGGCGCCTGCTTCGGGTCTTACAAGCTCTCAGCCCCCTTTCCAAAACACTAGCTGACACCTCTCTCATCTGCCAGGTCTCCATCACACCTTCCCCCTTCCCACCCTCCATGTCATGCCTAACTCAGGGGTGACACTGGTGATTCATTCCCCCCAAGCATTAGCTGTGACCCTCAGCAGTGGTGGAGGGCAGCCCCAAGTTCCCCTTACCAAGGCGCAGAACAGAGAAGAAGAGCAGCCAGAACATGCAGAGGATGGGGGCCACCACGACCTGGCTGATGGCAGCAATGTGGAGGCGCTGGTTCAGCTTGGTGGGGATGTACACGTAGTAAATGTTGTATCGGTCAACCATGTGCTTGAGCAGCATGTAGAGCAACCCTGGCAGGAGAAGAGAGAGGAGTGGCCATTTGGAGGGAGGACAACTGAGACAGCCAGGCTGCAGGGACAGCAGGACAGGCCGAGGGGACGATGCCCAAGGGTGCCCTCCTGTACCATGTGGGAAGCTCGTGCTCCCACATTGCTGCTGGTGGCTGAGACAGGTTCTTCTTGGCATGCCCAGGGGCAGTGGGACCATAGGCATGGGATTGGACTCACCGAAGGGAACGATGATGGGGCAGGTGATGCTGTAGGTCATGATGACAGAGAAGATGCAGCAGGTCCAGGCATACTCCAGTCCAAACTGGAACTGGTAGGCTTGGCTCTGGGACACAGCCAACAGTGTCATTACTGCCTCTGCTGCTGCAAAGGCTGCACTTAACCTTTTCACCCTGGTCCACATGATTGCCTTCCCCCCCCATTAGCCCCCATGAAGCCTGAAGAAGTCCCCACAGGCCTCCCCATGGGACTGGGACAGTCTGAGTTTTCAGCAAGTGCATCCCCACTGTGCTGGGGGTCATGTAGCTCAGAGGTGACCAGAGACACGTACCCGCTTGACGTGGAGCCGCTCAGGCTCGGACTTGGCAAAGCAGAGGCGGGCAGTGTAGACAAGAAGGCCCGGGATGCGCAGCAGCTCCATGGCTGTGCCAATCAGGCTGGAGGTGACCACGTAGTTGACGAAAAAAGCTCCGTTGTCTGGGAGAAAAACGCACCTGCCCCGGGGACACAGAGGGTAAGAGGATGCTTGGGCAGGTGGTCGGGACTGCCACTGGAGGCAGGTGTTGGGTGCTCCTGCCTGCCTGGGAGGTTTGGGAGCTGCCTGCTACTCACTGGAACTTGATATCAGCCTCATCCAGAAAGTGGGTGTCGAAGAGCCAGCGGAAAAAAAGGTCCAGGCTGTAGGGGGAAGAGGAGCAGCTCAGAAAGAGGGGGAGACACAGAGCAATGTGGGGGGCACCCATCACGAGTCTGCTTTCCCCTGCCCCAGGTGGGCAAGACTCTCTGAACACTATGCTGCCAGAACAGCCCTTTCTGCCACTCGGGACCACCACAGCATGGGTGGTCACCTCTTGGACGGTCAGGATTGCTGTAGCCAGTGCTACACAGATACCTGACTTGGTCCTTTCAGGGTCTGCTGAAGGGCTGGCCCCAAGCAGGGCACCACCAGCACCCTCAGGTCAGCCATGGCAAGCCACTCCACTCCCCTCCTCCTCTGCCTGGAAGCTTTCTGTCCATGATCATCCAGGAGCAGTTTGGCATGGCTAAAGAGCATTTTCCTCCCCAGAGACAGGTCTGTTTCAGTGGCGGTGAGCTCTTAGCCCTTTGGGGCTGGCTTGTGGGAGGCAAGGGGCCTGGGTGCGATCCCAGCTGCCAGGGAGCAGGGAGGGCCGTGCAGCAGGGTGGTCTGTACCTGCTCAGCCCCAGCGAGGGCAGGATGATGACCATGAACACAAGGAAGAAGAAGCACTTGTGCATAGTGAGCTGATTTTCACTTGACCTGCAGAGAGGAGAGGCAAGAGAAGAATGCTGCACTTTTCCAAGGCAGAGTAGCTGGTGAGGGGAGAGGCTGGGCTGGGTCTTGCTCTTCACCAAGGAGCTATTCCTAGCCCCAGGAAGCCAAGTGCATTTGATCTGTGCATCTACTGGGGCCTTGCAAAGCCTCTCCCAGACTAGGACGAGTTACCATGAGAAATCTGCTGTAGTGAAAGCTCTTGTGCCCCCTAAAAATCTCTCGCCTCCTTCAGCCTTGCCCTCTCCTACCACTCCTGCTGGTGTAGACACCCAACAAGAGGCAGATGGGTGTCTACAACAGGTTCAAGACCCCCCATTTTGCCCAAGAGAGGAAGGAAGTGACAAGCTCCTGCAAGGACTCAGTAGACCAGGCACAGGGGTTGGGGCCAGTGAAAGGTCAAGACAGAGAGAGCACATTGTAGGAGCTGGGTAGAGCTTCCTCTCTAGGAGACTTTGAGGCTCCTGAACCCATGCTTCCACTTCAAAGGGCTGTGAACGCAGCCAGGATATGCTGCCAGAGTCAGGGCCACAGTCCTGCTGCTGCCGGTCCACTAACACACCATCCCTTTCACAAACTTCCTCAGACCCATCTGAAAATGTTTGCAGCAGCCTGGAAACATTCAGGGCTATGGCAAGGAAATGTCTCCTTCGGGCATGGACTTGGGGCTCTTTCCATGGAGGGCAATACCCACAGGGCTCTGCCAGGGTCTGCCACTCCATGTCTGCCTCCCTGCAGGTTGGGTCCCACAAGTCCTACTAAGGTTCCTCCCATCTACCACAGCCCTGGGGAAGTGTAGGGGCCAGCCCCATTACCTCGTCCAGTGCGACTCAAAGAATGCCGAGTAGTAGACAAGGAAGGGCAGGAAGACAGAGAAAGCCCAGAGCAGCAGCGTGGGGAAGAACTGGGTGATGATGGGGTTCTGTAGGAGGAGAGATGACAGACACCCCCTCAGGAGCCTGCCAGAGCTCAGCCATGCTGGAGAGAGTTCCCTGGATCTCCTGGCACAGGACAGTGCATCCCCTCCCTGAGCAGGAGCATTTTTTTCAGGAGGTAAGAACTTGAGGGCAGCCAAAGGCACCATTGGCATGCTCTGAGCCCCAGTCCCGCCCCCCCCAACAGCTCACAGGTCAATGAGCAGGAAGGAGATGTGCTGCTGGCAGCTCTTAACATCTGGAGCTCCTCCCACCCCTCTTCTCTTGCATGGACACCAACCTGCCCTCCCCCAAGGACACCAGCACCAAAGCTCAGGTTTGCACAGGTGCCCCAGGGCTCTGCCACTGGAAACACAACAAGAAGGGGATGGATGACAAGCAGGAGCAGGACCACTCTTTGCCTTTCATCAACACCCATCCCAGTGATGGCTTGTCCACCCTCCCCCTGTCATGGACAAGCCTGGAAATGGAGACACTTTAAGAAAGCTGGCAGGACCCCAGGGCCTACCTTGAGGCTCTCCACAGGATGTGTGACATTGAACATATCCATAGTGTTGACAATGATGGCTGGCGTGGTGAGGAAGAAGAGAAGGATGAAGAGGCAGATATTAAGGAGGATGAATCGCACCCACCAGGATGTGCCACGGACTGATAAATTCTCCCTGTGAGAGGAAAGCACTTATTGAACATGGTGTGGAGGAAAAGCCACGTGTCCTGGGCCTCCCAGCCCGGCTCCTCAAAGGTCTGCCTTCCACTACCTGCACCAACCATTCTGGCAGCCTTTCCTCTGAACTCACCCACTTCCCCTCCCCATGTTGCTGCGCTGACACCTGCAGAGCCCCAGGACCAGAGAGTGGTCACAGAGGGGGTCCATACCACCAGGAGGCTTTGGAGTCAGGTGGGAGAGATTGGAGCCTGGCAATCACCCCAAGCCTCACCTGGCTGAGTCCTGCCACCCATGAGGTGATCACCCCAGTCACCTCTGCTGACTTCTGCTATGGCCAGAGGAGGGACTGTCAGCCTCTGCCACCCTGGGAAAGTGCCCTATAGATATGGGCACAGGTTCCCTATAGGTACATGGGTTCCCTATAGGTATGGGCATGGGTTCCCCCCAGATGCTTGCCCCCAAATCCCTCCCGCCACAGGGGTTCACCAGATGATATCGCTGGGTGCAGGGGCATAGCGAACACTCCAGTGGTGTGACTTGACCACGGTGGTGACAGAGGACTGCTGGGGGTGCTTGCGGCAGCGGATGTGGCTGTAGTCCTTCAAAATCCTGCAGAAGGAGGGAGCCAGGGGTCAGGTCCAGACCAATAGCTCAGGACCTCCCCCACACTTCTTGTGAGACACTTCCCGCATCCCCAACAGAGCGGCCACCTCCGTAGATAGCAGAGGCGCAGAAGACACAAACCCATCACCCGGCTTTGGCTGGAGAAGCTGGTGAGGTACCCCAGTTCCCCAGCAGTGGTGGCCACCAGGCTGGGGGACATCCCCATGCCTGTTGCACAAGGGGCACTCACACAGCCGTCATCCGCTCATCCTGGAAGGTGACAAAGGCCATGTCAAGCCGCTTGAGCATGATGCGGTTGCGCTCAGCATTGAACTCATCTGTGAGCTTCTCCTCCAGCTCCCCGTAGTACTGCTCGGCATCCACCTGTGGGAGCAGACAGGGCTCTGCCACACTTGCCAGGCTGGAGCATGGGCAAGCTGCCATGCTCTGCTTGCCCGCAGTGGAGGCGTGCTGCCTGCAGCTCTGCCCACGTTCTCCTACCTGCTCAAAGCCACAGAAGCGGCAGCAGAAGATGCGGGCACAGGGGTGGGTTTTGATCATGATCTTGCCCTCTTTCTGCGCCTTGGTGGTGAAGTAAAGCCGCCCCTTCATTGCCTTACGCCTGCCAGAAAGCCGATAGGGGCGAGGGTTGTTCAGGGAGCATCAGACAGAGTAACAGACTATGTCCCTTGACATGGTGGGCAGGAGCAGTACACCCACCCGCAGAGGCAATGGGGACCTGCATGCACTCACCTCTCCACATCCAGCTTCATCAGCTTGCGCACGTCGAAGCAGAACTGGACGTTGGTGACGGTGCAGCTGGGATAAGCCTCGCTGTGGGCACAGGGACACGATGGCACCAGGAGCCAGGTGACAGGGACAGCCCCTGACACCTACCTGCCAGCCACCTGGCAGTGTGGCACACTGCTACTCACTGGAAATGCTTGATGATAAGGGAAGGGTCTGTGATCTCCTTGGGGATGTGAGTAACCATCAGTGTCCGGGCAACCTAGGGGAGAAGAAGGGGCAGAGTAGGTGGTTGGGTTGGGGATTATGTGGGATGTCTCACTGCCAATCAGCTGCCAGGAAGGCAGAAACGAGCCAGGGCACTGACTGACACCCTGAACGCTGGTCAGCACAGACCCCAATGCCTACTCTCAGACCTCAGGGCATAGCTGAATGCTGCTACCTCCCAGAGAGATGGACACAGTAGAGCTTCAATCGCAAGATACAAGGCAGCAAGAAGAGAGATTTGCCTTTGGGCTGCCAGGCTTTCTCCAGAAGCTGGAGAAAACCATCCATATCCTTCCTTGCTTGCTCAGTCCCAGGCTGTTTCTAAAACTCTCCCTACCTACTGGGACCGGACCATCCTTTCCACAAAGCATAAAGTTGTCCATTAGTATTGAACAAGGCAGGGCTGGAGGAGGGGTGGTTGCTCACCTTCTCATTCTCTCTGTATTCAAGGTGGACCGAGTGGTGAGCCATGCAGAGGATGGTGAGGATGAAATAGATGAGGGCAAAGATGCTGTGCAGCCACAGGAGACGGTCCCTGGAGGAAGGGAAGAGGGGATCAGCAAGCACTGCAGCAGGCATATGGCATGCAGACCAGCTTGGCTCTCAGTGTCTCACTCATAGCCACCCATGGCTCAACTGTGGCTGCTTCCACTGCCCAGTGGGACCTCCCCAAGCTGGCTGCCAGATCTCCACCCCAGGGAAGAGAGGGGCAGCTTCCAGGGTGTTGGCCGAGATACTACAGAAATGAGGCCGCCCAGTGCCCCTGAGAGCACTTCTGCCAGCAGCAGGGTGCAGAGAGCAGTGCCAATGTGCTGGCTGCCATGACTGTGCTTGTGCATGGTGCAGAGAGACACAGGGACTACGTGACCGGCGTGCTGCTCGCATGGACCTGTCCCTGTCCCTGGCATGGGGCTGTGGGGACCGCTGTGCCTGGGTGCTTCCAGCAGTGCCCACCACAGTGGCAGCACCCACAGCCCCCCTAGATGCGGGAGCCACGTACTGCGTCGGGATGTTGGCGATGGTTGTCCGGCCAAAGTGGGTGGGATTGTGTCCTGCAGGGGAAGACGAGAAGTGGAAGGTTAAGGGAACCCGGTGCAGTGTGAACGTCCATGCTCGCAGGGTTAGTGGCTCTGGTCTTTGCTCCCTCCTCTTCCCAGGTCCCCACCAAGCCCCCCACTGCCCTGAAGCTCCCTGCCTCTTGTGTCCCTCCATCCCACAGCTGATGGTGGGTTCCTGCTCACATGGGTGTTCCTGACAGAGAGGTTCTTCTGCCATCTGTCCCCGTGGCACAGTTCTTGCCCCAAGGCTGGGGAAGCTTGCACCACACTCCTGAGCCATTTCACAACTGGGGAAGTACTTACCCAGGAGGTCCCCTGAGAAGTTGACAGGCAAGATGACAGCTACAGAGAGCACGCAGACCAGCATCAGCAGGACCAGGAGGTGCCGCTGGAAGGAGAGGTAGGTGGTGGCGTCGATCCCACACTTGCTTTGAATCTCCTCATCCCTGGAGGAGAGGCAGGTGGGTGTGAGCACTGGTGGTGCCTCCCCACCACCTCCCACCCTGGGGACACTGGCTGCTCCAGCCTCACACAGGCCATACCAACTCATGGCATCCTGCCTGTGGCATGTGGGCTTTGGGCTCAGAGGGAATGAGGGACACAAGCAGCCCTCACGTTGCCATCCCATTACAGGACTGGCTCCAACCAGAAGAGGTTGAAGCCATTTTCTTTAGGACAGGATCCCAGAGCCAGGAGGAAAGGCAGAGTTGTTTCTCTGCTCCCTCTGCTCTCTCTCCAGGGGGGATGTTTGAAAGGAGTTCTCCTCCACCACTGGTCCCAGCAGCTTCAGGTGATGGGCCACCACCTGTGGTCACTGAGTCCCCAGGGGTGGACAGTGGTGGAGCATGGCTGTGATGCTGAGGACACACACTTACTTCATCTGGTAGATAGAAATGAGCCAGGAGCAGAATCCCTGGAAGAGAAAATAGTTGGGATGAGCAAGGGGTAACCACTTCCCCGGCATGGAGCCAGGGCACTGGGGACACATGCAGAGGTGGTGAGGTGCTTGGGGCTGGTGGTGCTGAGCAAATGAAGGCAGTGCCCAAGACAGCCCAGCGACGCTCAGCCCAGTGGCTTGTCTACAGCAGTGGCAAAGGCCTTGGGAGGAGTGAGAAATATGGGGCTTGTCTGTAACACAGGCTCCCGGCTTCCAGCAGCTCCCTCCTCTGCCCCTTCCCTGACAGTCCCTAACATACAATGTGCTTTTTTTGACCACCACTGAGTGCTGAGCTGGAAGTGCTGTAGAGCAATATAGGACAACGTAAGATCTTGTGTAGTAGCTCAATCCCTGTCAATGCATATGCAATGTACAGGTTTTTCTCCCCTACCCATTATTTTATGTTTTACTGACACTGGAGTTCACGCAAGTTCAAGGTCCCGCTGCAGTCCCCCCAGTCATGGCTGTACTGAATAACACTCATCCATCTGGCTTCTTCATCCCCTTCCAGAGTGTTTATGCTGACCTTGGATTGGAAGGACCCCAGGCAACACCCTGTGGGATTCCCTTACCCTGCCCCATGAGAGCTGGCTGCTTCTTCCTCCTCTCCATCCCATGACTTTAGCCATGCCAGGACCTTCCCTCCTACCCCACAGCTCAGCTTTGTCTGATCAACCACAGCAGAAGGTTTTGGAGGTGCAGGCATCCCCGTGCCCCTGGCAGCTCTGCAGGGGCCAGACACCCCCTTAGCACAGCCGGGTTGTCTCCCCTCCTATGCTCTGCTACAGGCCTCTGCTCTGGAGAACCATGTCTAGGAGGCTGTCCATGCAGACCCCAAGATCCCTGGGTTGTAATTTCTCGGGTTTTCCAGAAACCCACCTGAAAAAACAGCATTCGTCAGCTAAGTCCCAACTCTTCAGGATCTCCACGTACAGGAAAGAGGTTATACATGGCAGTCAATAGCTTAGCTATTTGTGTCAGGGTGAGTGAGAAGTCCTATGCCTGGTCCTGCGAATTTGTGATGGTAACAGGAATTTGTCGGGCTGCTTTGATTGCAACCTCATCCTCCAACCCTGCTGCTGATGCGATGCTCCAGTGCCTCCCCATGGAGAAGGGCTTCCAGGCAGCAATCTGGTCAAGCTCCTCCTCACTGATTACAGACACCAAAACTTTATTTAGCTCTCCTGTCTCATTCTTGCCTTCTCCAGCAAGCACCTTCTATCTTCAACATCTATCAGCACTACAATCCTTCTGCATATTTCCTGTTCCTGACGTGTGAAGAAAAATCCAGTATTTGCTTTCATGCTCTACAAATTTCTCCTCAAAACCAGTCTTTTTCCCTCCTTAGTGTATTTTACATCTAACCTGGCACCTTTAGATTTTCCTCATTTGGCAACAGCTGGACTTTTTTAAAAGGATGTCTTCTTACTTCTAATAATCTCCCTTAATCTGATCTTTAGCCATGCCGGCTTGCCCTCTGGTCTTTATCACTTATTTTTTGAGGAGCAATGTATATTTTCCCAGAGCATCTGGTATCAAGATTTTAAACAGTCCTCATGCCACCTGCAAGGATTTTTATTCTTTACCTTTCCTGCCTAGTTTTTTTTTTTAATATGTCATTTTTTCATAGTCACACCAGTGACTGGTTTTTGAGCTTTCACTGCCAAAAAAAGAGAAGGAAACAGTCAGCAAAATATGTCTGTCTCTGCTTGTTTCCAGCAAAGCCTGGTTTGTGCCTGGTGTGATAGAGAGAAACAAAAACTTTAAAGCACCCACAGCCCACACACCGGCAGAGGTGGAGGTATGATCCAGGGGACTCTGTCCTGCCGGGACCAGAAAGGTCCCTGCGGGTGCACAGCGATGCTCTGGCCATGCATCCAGCTAGGTCCCCACAGCCAGCAGGGACGGCCATACAGCTGGGAGATGCTTGTCCTGGCAGGAGCATCCCCTCCAAGCTGTTGTTCAAGGCAGATGTCTCAAAACAAGCCAGGACAAAGAAACCCTACAGCTTTCCCAGGAATACCCTGCTGCTAAAGAGTGTTAAGCAGGAAACCCTGTGCTAGAGGGTTTAATTTCTGCCATTTAACTTCTGACTTGGGTTTCTGGTGAACAGCAGGGCAGGCTGAGCCAGGAGGAGCCCAGCCTGGGGCTCCCACTGCCATGGCTGCTGGCACTCACCACGTCCTTGTTATCAGCGTCCAGAGGGCTGCTCTCTGATGGCGACTTCTCCTTCTCACTCTGCTCTCCGTAGAAAAGCGATGTCAAACTTTGCAGTGAAGGGAGGGATGAGGTGGGAAAGAAACAGCAAGCAGGAGAGGATGAGCACCCTCAGAGAAGCTTCTCCTAGGAGAGCAGCCTGGAAAATGCCTCCCACCTCCCTGCATCCTGCACTGGTGCTGGACCAGCAACTACTGCTGAGATCGGGGCAGGGGCTGCATCTTGCTGCCTCTGTGCTAAGTCCCCACAGCTTCTCTGTGGCCCTGGCCCATGTTGGGGTGGCTCATGGACAATTCACCTTAGCTCCAGGACAAGGGACAGCTGAACCAGATTTTTTTCTATTTCATTCATTTCAGCCCTCTCAAATGATATTACAGTAAAAAGGAACATAATCAGAGCTTGAATTTTAAGTATTGATTGCACCTTTGCTCTTCCTGGTGAAGGGAAACATTGCCTGTCCACTGTGAGACTTGGCTCCAGAGCCCAAGGTCAAGAGGAGTTGAAGAGGGGAGAAGGCAGGAGAGGGACTTTTACAGAGTTTGCTCCTACAGGCTGCCCAGCCTTGCAGAGACCCCACCTGTGTGCACCCACCTGCATAAAAAAAGATGCTTTGCTGCCTGGGGCAAGACGTGCTTTGTCAGATAGGCAGCTGCAGGGAGCACAGACCATCTGAAAATGTGGTCTGGGCTCTACTTCCATGAGGACACCGGTATTGTTTGTGGGATTCTGCACCTAGCCCAAAGGATGGGCCAGGCAACCTGCCTTGGTGACATGAGGTACAGTGTTATTGCTATATCTCTCCCTCTGCCTCCTCTGCCAGCCAGCCCTGCTCATCCAGAGAGAGCAGCAGGGGGAGAGGTAGCAGCTCAGCTACCACTCAGAAGCAGTTCTTGGGCCTCTGTCCTTCCCAGGACAGTGCCCTCCCTGGCACTGACAGCGCTGTCACTAGGTGGTACCTGCAAGAGAGAATCAAAGCTGGCCTGGGCTTGCCCTCTCCCTGCAGAAGACCGTGACTGTGCCTCCATGGGCAAGGGCAGTCACACCATTCCCAGGGGGAATAAGGGACAGGAACACCTGCTGAGCTTCTCTGTGGGCCACCCCGCAGTGCCAGCCCTCTTGGAGAGGCTGGAGCCATCACCCGCAGTGGCCTTCCATCCTCCTTACCTATCGTTGTCCATTAGCAGTGCCAGGCGCCCATAGTCCCAAGCCGCTTTCCGAAGGCAGGAGAAGACCAGGAGGAGAAGCTGGAAGAAGAGGGAAGAGGTGAAGGGTTTTGCTGTAGGGTCTTGCCCTGTGGGATCTCCTCATGTCCCTCCTTTCTGTTTTCTCACTCATGAGTCCAAGCTCGTGCAAAATTCTTGCCTCAAGCCAAACTGCTCCTGCTCCGTGATCTCACCACTGCTGCCCAAGTGTCACTTGCTGCCCAGCATGACAGGGGCAAAGCTTTTGGTCCCCTGCACTCATTCCTGCTCCCCCAGTCAGCCAGGTGCACGGGTGCAGAGACTGCACTCATGTGTGGCTGTCAGCACACCCATAACACACACACACACACACACAGTGCTCACAGCCAGACTCTGACACCACAGCCAGGGGCTGCAGTGCCCATAGACATGGCAACTCCTGTCTGCTCACCAGCCAGAGGATGAAGTTGATGGCGAGCACGGTGGGCACGCCACCGAACGGCAGCCCTTCCAGGACTGTGCTGTGGGAGCGGGCGCTGAAGCATTGCTCCTCTGTGCTGTTCACCAGGGCATCCAGGAAGCTGAGCACATCCAGCGAGGTGGGGCCAGCACCATCAGGCACTGGTTCCACCGAGTACACACTCTCCATTGGTGCCGTCGTGGGGCCTCACCCTGCAATACAGGGGCAGGGGTGTGGATGGAGAAGCCTCTGCTTGAAAAGGGGCTGTGGCTCTTCCAGGTCCTCCAGCGAGGTCTGAGGATCTCCCTGAGGGCAGGGAGGGGAGAGGACTGGCTGGTGATCTTGGAGCTTCCTCAATACCAGTCTCTCCCAGGGAGGGGGTGTGGGACACAGGGCAGGAGGTGTTGCTGAAGAAATCTCACAGCTGTCTCATAGCTGTTCCCCACCCCATGCTATGTCTCCATCATACCTGGCACAGGTTTCTCACCACCTCTGCCCCTCACTCCTGGAAGCTGGGTCGTGTCATGGCCACCCTGGTGCAGTCAGCAGGCAGGAATGGGAGAGACAAAGCATTTGCTTGAGTTTCTGAGAAGAAGAGAAATGATAGTGTTAACAACTGGGCTGCTGAGGATGTGCTTGATCTGTTCCCCACAGCCAGATATCTACTGCATATGGAACATCCCTTAAGCCCTCACTTCTCCAGCATCACAATCTGTGTGACTCAGGAGTCATGGGACTTTCCTTATGTCTTTCCACCAGATCAGAATTGCTCCTTCCAAGGTATCTTGATGTCTTCAGAAGAATCAGCTTCTCAAGACCCTGAATACCATGTTTTCCCCCACCTCCCCAGGAGCCGATACCGCAGGCTACAGTCCTCACTGGTTGGAAACGCTTAAAGGCCAGTAATGGCCAAGACCATGGCTTGTTTCCTAAACCTTTTCTACTGCCAAGCTTGAGGAAGGAGAGGATCCTCTCCAAACTTGCAGTGCCTGGGACCCCTGGGAATAAGCATCCTACAGCAGTTAGCATGGCTGTTACTCATGTGGATGCCACAGACCTGCGTGCCATGATGGTGCTGAATGGCCAATGCACTCACCAGGACAGGAGGAGAGGGAACCAGCACAGCAAACACTAAAAAACACAGGATGGGGACAAGAGGGCCAGAGTGTCTTCTCATGTGCCTCCCAAGTCTCCGTCCCTTGGAGCCCCCACCCTTTAGCCAGCTGCTCCTGGTGCCTGGAGGACCGCTATGACTGTGGTGAGACTAATCACATTGCCAGGGTAATAGGCATGCTGGGACAGTGCGGGGGGTCTTCAGGGTGTTCTCATGACGGTCCATGATGGTCCATTAATAGGTTGTTGGGGGTTTTCAAAATGGCAACCAAGTTGGGTCCCTAATGTCTCTTCCAAAAAGACCTTGAGTTAGGATGTCTAGTACTTTTTAGGTAGATAAACCCGGAGGGCTGAAGACCCTGCTTAAGGGAAGATTGAGGTTACCAGTGTGTGGGGGAACAGCTAGACAAAGAAGCATTGTCTTTGGAGGCCTTGAGCAACAAAATATAATTTTGAAGTTGGCCTGGGCCTGAGCAAGGCTTTTATTAGATGACCTCCAAGGGAGCCCTTTCAACTGCAGCTATTTACATCTCTGTTCTTAGGGACCTGTGCTCCTGACAAGCCCATCTTCTGGCCTGCCTGAATTTTATAAGGAGTTATATGAGTGCCTTACCCTGCAGGCATGCTGAGCACAGTATATTGTGTCCAGTGCAAAGGCGACATGAAACTTCAGCATGCTTATTAACATGTGCTCCTGTGAGCTTAGTATTTAGGCCACTGGGCATTCACTCCTACTCTTCCTTTTTATCTATATTCCAGACACAACTAGGTCCCTGCTGCAGCCCCTGCAGTCACCCAGCAACAGCTTATTCCTGCTGCATCCCCTGGACAGGATGGAGGAAGAAGAGCAAGAGCCATGCTCCGATTAAGTGATGGAGGAGGATGCAAACAAAGACAGCCAGCACCTCCAGGGACCTGGAGATGCAAGTGTTTATGGTGGTTTTTCTCACCAAAACCAAAGAGGATCAACTCTTCTTCAATACCAAAGGAAACTGGATTGAGAGGTCCTTGGGGAGCACAGCCAGAGCACACACAAAATGCCTTGTCTTAGAAAGGGGATCTTCCTGAGCATTACACAGATTTGCTTTTGTTGGGAAACATTTACTTCTGCTGTGTCAGTGTGACAGATGGGAGACTACAGTAGCACGTGGTTTTATGTGCACTGCTATAGCCTCAGCCTCTCTCTCTTAGACCATGCAGCTTCCTGCTTGAGGAGATTAGTCCTGTCCTAAAGCTCCTGAGGGACACAGACAACCCCATGGCTGAGCACAGAGGGTAGGATGGGGATGCTAGCAGGAGCTAACACAGGTTACACACCTGAAACAATGACTCTCTTTGACCTCTTCGTCCAGGGAAAGGAAAGACTGAGGAAGAGGGAGGTTTTCAAACACAGAGTTGATTAAAAAAAAAAAAAAAAGGCTCTGACAGCCTGACAAATGCAATAAGGTGGTCACCAGGGATTCCCAAGGGACTCTTAACCCAAGCTCTCAAGAGGGTTCAAGAACTTAGAAACTACTCTTGGTGCCTGCAGTTTCCAAATTGAACACAGAAATACAGTGGTTTAATATTTTTTTCATCTCTGAAGCATAAATTCCAGCCCTGCAAAAAATCTCCACTGGAAGCTTGGACCAAATCATCCACTGTGATCCTTGGACCAAGGCTATAAGCCCAGCAAAGCCTGAGGCTCACCCCACTCCAGGGTTAGGCTGGTATGTGGCTACCTGCAGAGGTGCCTTGAAGGGATGTCAGAAGCCACTGAACTACAGATATCAAGATCCCCAGGGCATGCAGACCCATGGCAGTCCCTCTTACTGTGCATATGGTGCAGTGTCACCTGGGGCATGGGCTGAAGCCATGTCTGCTACAAATCTGCCCATGCTGCCTACAGCATCTTCAATTCCCCTCAGAGGTCCTTATATCTATTGATCTGGCCAGTCCACGGTGTCTGGAGACATCATAGCCCAAGCTGGGACAGTTGACCATTAGTGTGGCTCCCAAAAGAACTGCCATGTCACTCGAGATATGCTGATACTGCTCCAAGGACATCCCAGTAGTCTTGGGGCTGAAGCACTATCCCTGCGGCCAGATGTGAAGTGAGGGATGGGCTGGTAAAGCCTCCCTGTAGTGCCCTCAGTCATGGCCTGATCCCCAGACAGGGTTAGGAGGCCCGTACTTTAAGGCCCAGCATGGCTCCATTGGGATAACAACCCCTGAAAAAGGAACTACAAGGGGAGACCTGTGGGAAATGAGTGAGTCACTCTAGCAAGCAGCAGCTGTTTGCCCTGGCTGCCTGCCTCCTGCTTGCCTTCAGGCGCCTGTGAAACCACCTGGGCCACTGGGACCTCTGGCCAGAGTCAGCCCTTTCCTATGGAGATGCTCTCAATCTGTTCTCCCCATGTGCATGTCTCCCTCCCTCCCTCAAGCAGCAGAGCCATCGCCATCTGGCATTTTCAGCTGCTAAATAATTCATTGCCTTTTTGTTAACAAGAAGAGTGTGCCTCTGACCGAAGGAAATGTTGGACCTTCAGCAAATAAACAAGGAGACTCAGCAACCTCCGAGTCCCTTCTTCACCACCACTACTCCACTACCCAGTGGTAATATCCTGCAGCTTGTTTCTAGGCTCCATCTTCACACTCGTAGGAGGAACATCCTGCTGGAAGATAGCAGGGTGAGGGGGATTTTCACAGGGATCGGTACGGGTTGTCTTTCCCTATCAAGTCCTTGTTGCTGCCCCCTTCCCCTAGTAGCAGATATTTTGCTCCTGGTGGCCAAAAGCAATGGGTTCCTCCTGGAGATGGTGCTAGTATCTCCTGCTACCCACAAGCCTCCCAAATGCCATCCTTCACCCACCCAGGCCAACTGGTTCCTGTCTCTTCATCCAGCATTGCTGTTTCAATGCCAGAGTGTTACTGCACAGAATAATTTCAGGAGCAGAAGACACCTGAAGCCACTGGTCCAGCTCTGTCCCTTCTCTCACAGGCACCTCCACTTCTGTTGCCCAAAGGAGCTGTCTTGTCATGCTCAGGTCTGTAACACAGCCCTTGATCACAGCTCCTCTGAAGGTGATCTCAAGCTCATTCTCATGCCTTTTCCCCTGGTCCCTTCACCCCCAGATACCCAGGGAAACCCACGTCCAAATACTCAAACCGGTACTTTTCTAGACCATTTGTTCCAGCTAATCTCACCTTTTATGGTGCTACTCTTAGAAAAGCTTATGCAAATTACATAGCTGCAGCGTTACCATTAAAATAACCGTTGGGAACAACCAGCTAAAAGTAAATCATGTAAATGTTCTTGGAACAGCACAGGCAGCAGAAACTGTGAGAGAAGATTTTTGCTCACGAGCACCAGGGACAGCTTGAACTCAGACCTGTAGGACATGTTCAACCTCCCTCCAACTAGAGGAGATACCTTACTTGGTATACAGTGAGAGATCACACAGACACTGTAGGTCAGACTGAAAGTTGCTGTTAAAACACCTGAGCTAAACACCAAACATATGAGATAATTCAGCATTTTGCAATACTCTGACTCTGTGATCGTATCTTAAAGGTCCAAACAAACCCCACAGCATTGCCAGATCAGTTCCTGTTTGCAGGTAGGCCACTGCCATTGTGCTTTTCCTGAACTTTAAGGGCCAGAGGAGGAAATACTGTTGTGAATAACAGAGCTGTGTGAGAACCTTCACTTCCAGAAAGTGTTGGGAGAGCTTCCTGTTAGCTGTGTATGAGGCAGTGCCTCCACATACCCACCACAGGTGTCCCTCAGAACAGCCACTGTCCTGGAGGAGCAACAGCAACAGACAAGTCAAGAAACACAGGAGTGGACAGGGTTGCAGCTGAGAAAATTAAACAATAACACAGAGGCAGAAATCACAATATATGGTCTACCCAATTTAGGTCTTACATAGAGGAAAGATGCTAAAATAGGGTCAGATGCTAAAATAGGGTCAGAAAACACGTAGGCAATAAAGGCAGTCCTTCTTTCACTTCTTTGCGATGGCTGTGAATGGACAGTGAATGTATGAGATTTACCACTGAAAGTGATTTGCTGGATAATTTCTATGAGGCATTCCCAGTGTGTAAGGTTTGTCTTGAATATTCAGTGCCCTGTTTGTTTTGTTGATTCACCAGCATATGCTTCTCCTCTCCGGTTGGGTGGGCACTAATCCAGAGACTCAGATTTCCAATTAAAAATAAGGCATATCTTTTATACAAATGTAATTTTTCAAAATTTATCTTTCCCTTGAAGCACCCTGCCAGCAAACTCATTTGCTAGGGGATTCACGGACAGCTGGAGTAGCAAAACACCAAAACAAAGCCTTGGGAGCACTAAGATGACTAAACTGGGCTTCTCGGCATGCCTGCGCTCACCCAGCCTCAGCATCCCGCTCCAGCATGGAGGGCATTACTCATTTCGGCTGGCAGGTGGGCAGCCTGGGCACAGGGCTGCTGCTGGAGCTGTCTGTGGCCACACAAAGCCAGCAGAAAAGCCAAGTTGAGGAGTCAGACCATGTCTCCTAGAAAGCAAGCATCCCTGCTACCCAACTGCCTCTGTGTCCTTCTTCCTTTGCAAGGAGATGTGGCCAGGCTGCAGGAGTGGAAAACGAGGACCACCGTAACAGGAAGATGCAGTTCATGCCCTGGTATGCCCAGGACTGCGCAGGGAGGCAAGCCTCTGGCATGCCACCATGCGGGACTGCAGTGACTGACCTTGTAGGACTTCAGTGAGGGAGAGGCCAGGAAACCCAAGCCACTGCCACTGACTCAGCACAGCTAATGAATGACCTTGGGCTGGGAAAAGGCTCATCAACACCCTGTGCTGAGCTCAGCGTGCACTCAGGCAGAGGCAGTTTTGCCACCAAAGGGCATGGTGACCCTTCTGTCCCTGTAGCTTGGTGAATGGGAGAACAGGTGCACCACAGGCCACATCAGTTCCTGAGAGGGATGAGCACAGAGGGGATGGGACCACAGACGCAGCCCTCCAAAACCCTACAGGGGTCCAAGGCATTCCTCCCCAGGTTTCCCTTCACCCTTCCCTCTTACAGTCATGTTCTCCAGGTCGAAAAAACAAATTGAGGATCAGGCTGGTGGTGGCCTGTGGGGCAAGTGGGAATGGGGCAGCAGCATTCCTGGGCAGGGCTCTTTGCACCACCTTCAGCATCTTCAGGGCAGGCTCACACACAGACCCATGGAGGGTGGAGCCAGATCCCGCCAGAGAGCTAAGGCGCTGGATGCAGAGAGATCGGTAACACAAACACTGACACTGCTGTGAATGCTGTGCTCACACCCTGCTAAGGCCACAGCACAGACAACCCACCAGCAGCTACCTCACATGGGACATACACCTGCCCATGCCATTAGCCTGCTGGAAACCAGACACGCCTTCCAAACAAGGAGAACCACACCACGAGTGGCAACCTGACTGGTGGGCTATGGAGGCTGGGGTCAGTAAGGTTTGGAGGCAAAGGACCACTCTGCAGCAACTGATGACTCATAACAGGTATAAAACACCTGCTAAAAGATAAGTTTTGTCATCTCCAATGGAGATATGATTACCCAGAGAGGTCGGGAAGACTTGGCAGCCAGTGTCCCTTGTCCCCATATCACCCACAAGTGACTACAGGCAGGGTGCTCATGAAGATGGTGGGTATGAGTGTGGGAGCCAGTGTGATCAATAAGAAAATGAGTATGAGTACGTAGCTGAGTAAAATAAATCTGCTTAAGGATGGCATAAATAAATATCACATTGTTCACCCATAAGCTCTCCTACCGAGGAGCATGAATGCCCACCAGGCTCAGTGCCAGCCAGGGCAGAATGGTGGCAGGGACCAGCTGGTCCATGAGCTCACCCAGGCCCTGGGGATGCAAACCCCATGGTGAACCCCTTCCCTTCGGTGGTGAGCCCACCTTCGGCATCACTGCTCCTGTTCCCAATGCTTTGTCCATGTCCCTGGCCCTCTGGGAGCTCCCACAGAAAGGGATGGCACAGAGACACAGGAACCCACTGCTAGGGACCACATAGGCAGCAGTATGAGGGAAGAGGTGTCTGTTCCTGGGACAGAAAATGTGTGTCCTCCCCACTCCAACTACTCCCAACCTGCCTCGCCAGCACTGACCATCTAAACAATGTAACCCACCAGGAAAGCAAGACTGTGGCCCCATTTCAGGGAGCCAAGCAAGCTTTTGTGCTCTCAGGAGTGACATGTTGCCACCACTTTCAGGAAACCCTGTGCAAGGTCATGCTGCCCCAGGGACTCACCAGAAACTAATACAGCATTTGAGAGCAAAACTATCCCCTGCCATGTCCCCCTGTAGTCACCCCCAGCTCCCTGCCCTCCCCTTCTTCCCCAGCACTGCCATGCAGACCCGGAGTGGCCACATTTTGGCACTGGGATAGACTAAGCTCCATGTATGAGACTTTTGAACAAGAAGGCATCCCAACCCCCAGCCGGGCTTTCTGCAGGACCACGTTTGGGGCCTTCCTCTACAGTATGGCAGCCACCTGCATGAACCACTTCTCTCAGAGGGATGCTGTGGTCCAAGCAGGGCAGCACTGATTTGCTGCAGTGTGCCTTGGTGCAAGAATAAAGTCAAACCTCAGGCAATCAAGACCAAGCAGGGCTTACGGTGAGATCTACAGCCGGAGAGGTTTGTCTGGGCCGTCACGTGGGAGAGGCAGTGCACAGAGCAGCTCTCCTCCATGCACATGCGAGCCAGTGGCTGCTGGAGCCAGCACACAGCAATAGGAAGGAAGAACCAGAGTGGAGTTTATTTGTTCCACCCCCAGTCCTTTTTGACACATTTGACTAAGCAGGCCATCTCTAACCCATGGTTGGTTTATATTTCAATATCCTGCTGTGCACACAGCACTGTTAGCCCCTCACACTGCACTTTGTGTGTGCAAAGCATCGAGCAAACATAAGCTCATTGGGCTGCAAGCTCCCAAGTGCAGAGGCTCGTCACTCATTCTGCGTTGTGTGCCCTTGTCCTCTTATAACACTTAAATCAACGGTCTTCAGCACAAAGGATTACACAGGCCAGGCCCAGCCCAAGCACAGGGCAGGGAGCTGCTGGTGGGCCTTGGCTGAGAGCAGAGAGCCAGGAAAGAGAGCTTATAATAAGGATGGGGACAGACTCTTTAATAGAGCCTGTAGGACAGGAGAATGGGTAATAGTTTTAAACTAGAAGAGGGTAGATTCGAATAAATATAAGAATATTTTACGATGAGGGTGGTAAAACACTGGATCAGGTTGCCCAGAAAGATGGTAGATGCCCCATCCCTGGAAACATTCAAGATCAGGCTGGACAGGATGCTGAGCAACATAATCTAGTTGATGTCCCTGCTCACTATAGGGGGGGTTGACTAGATGACCATTAAAGGTCTCTTCCAACCCACACTTTTCCGTGATTCTATGAAAAGCCAGGACTGACTGTGCAGAATGGAGACCCAGGTTGCTTAGAAGTGGGAAAGAGACAGGGAGTCATCCTGGGGCTCTCCGTTAAAATACACGTGTGCATATGCATGTGCACTCAGGAAAAGAGTATTTCAGGAAAACAGTAAAGACACCTCCTGGTACCATGAGGTCCCTGCTTCAAGCTGGGATGCTGAATGCTGTTTGCAGTCCCCAGAGCAATCCCTGAACTTGCAATTAATTAACAATGATACGTGCAGATGTGGACAACTTCCAGTCCCTACTGCCTGTGTGACTGAGGGCCACCACAGCAGCCAGCCCTAGGGAAGGGCTTGAGCTTCACCATAAAGGGTAGCCCCAGGTTGCTTATCGCCTGCAGCTCCAATACCATGGCATGCTGTGCCCACTCACAGCCAGCCTGGCAGCCCCAGCTCCCATTTGGCATTGAAGGCCAAGGCAGGCACCCCTCAGCAAGGCTGCGTCAGTAGTGGGATGTCAGGCATTTACAGGCAGATTGCTTCTTCCTCCATCCAGGTAATCATGCTCAACCAGAGGGGGATTTTAAGGCCTCTGTGAAGGAAAATGCCACCTCTGCTGCGATAAACACACCCTCATGGAAACATATATGGAAACCAGGAGCAGCTGCACTGTGGTCGGGAGCCAGCCTGAAGCTGTCACTGCAGGTTGTGGACACCTTTCACAGTGCCGCAAGGTGCCAGGAGCACTGTGGTCCCTGGACATGGGGGAAAAGGCAGGATGGAGACAGGGGGAAAAGGAAGCTCTTTCCTCCCGAATCCCTTCTGCTGTTTGGGGACCAGGGAGCTGTGGGAGGTAGAGAGGAGAGTGGGAGGTTTATCTGCTGCCTTTTATAAAGCCAACTGCTGCAGAGAAACTGCCAGCCATGGGAGCAGCCAGCACAGCTACAGTCATCACCAGTAAGTGGAGGGAACCTCACCCCAGGGCAGAGGGAAGGAGAGGACTGGCAAGGAGAGGCTGTGCACAAGGGGGATGCAGACCAAGAAGCCAAATACCGCCTTGCTTGGACTACGCAACTCCAGTGACTTTGCACCCTGGTGTCTTGCCTGGCTGGGATGGCATGGTGTGCTTGGGGATGGCAGGGACCTCACTGCTGAGCTGGTGGACAAAGTTTGAAGGGGCACATTTCAAATCCCCTGCACAGTTGCTCTCAGGTGCTGAGCTCCAGCCAGCCCCCCTCATGGCTGATGCCCGCAAGCCTGCTGTGTGATGGGGGCAAGCACGGCTGCATGGCAGGCTAGCAGGGGTCTGGCACCCATGCTGCTGGGCCATGCTCTGCTCCACTTCAGCCCACTGCTGCCTGATAGGGAT